CAGGTGCCACATCTACATGTTTCTTGAGCACCTCCAGGGGTGGTGACCCCACCAGAGCAGCCTGTGCCAGGACCTGACTGCTCTTCCAGTAAAGAAATTCTTCCTCATACCCAGCCTGAGCCCCCCCTGGCACAACTTCAGACCCTTTCCTCTAGTCCTCTCCTTACTCACTTGGGAGAAGAGGTCACCAGGGCAGGAAAGGCCCACTAACCTAGTGAAGAGTGGCTGTTGACCCCCCCAGCCAGTCCCACCCCAAGGAGAAGTTGATCTGCAGGGCCCTGATCACATCAGGGCAGAGAGAGCAGGTGAATCATCCCTTTGCTGCAGCTCCTCTGGGGTGTCCTCTGTTGTTCCCCATCTGATGAGCTTGTTCCCATCAACCCCACAAACCCCCTCACCCACCAGCACCCAACTTAGAAGAGCTTTTCAGCTGCCAAGGAGCTTCCCACATTTTTCAGCACAAAAGCTCCTCAGGAGACCCTGGGTCACAGGCAAACCCAAACCATCACTCCTGCTGAGCTGGGAGCAAGGAACCCTCAGCTGGAACACCAACACACATGGTTTTTTAGGGGTTACAATCCAAGCAGAGAGAATCTGAGCCCTGAAAACCACCTGGCTCTCCAGCCAGCCTGTGGAAACTCACTCCCAATGTCTCTCCCCCGTGGTATCCAGCCACAGGTCAGGGTGCACTGGGGACCTCAGGCAAAGAAACCTCTGATGTGACACCCCTGGGTGCCCAAGGGAAGGAATCTGGATGGTGGGTGATGCTTCCCACCTGAGAAGGCAGAACTTGGAGGCACATGTCAATGTGAGATCCACCAAGCATCTCAGGCTTGGTCTGAGATGCACTCACAGGGTGGGCACCTTGTGTTCCTCCCCAACAGCTCCTACACATCAGAAGCCACCTCAGGGCCTCACCTGCTCAGCAGAGAAAGATTCACTGCCTGCTGCAGACAAATGGGACATCTGCAGTCAGATTTTGTGCCTGGAGGAGTTGCCAGGGAAGCCACAAGGGCTTCTGCAAAGTCTCTTTGTGGAGCTGAATGGCAGACAGGACACAAAACCCATACAAGGCTTTCAAGGACCTCAGCATCTCAAAGCCCAACCTGGTGCTGGTCCCTCAGTCTTGCTCTCAGCAACCCCAGCATCCCTGCTTGGCTGTGCCCCTGCTACTCAACTCACCAGCTGCTTTGCCAGCCCAAACCTTCCTGACCTCCCAGGCACCTTCACCTCTCAGGGCAGCAACAACAACCTCTGAGCATCACCCATGGAAAAGGCTGGTCCAGCCAAATGACCTGTAGGCACAAGGCAGAGCTCCTCACACCCCCAAGTCATGCCAGGAGCTGGGAAATTCAGCCCAACCCCAGGCCCTGAGGGGCCCTTCAGTGCCCCTTCAGCTGGGCAAAGCTGTGCTGGGGAACAAGTTGATGGGAGCACTTGGACACAGCCCTGAAGCAGCCAAATCCCTCTGCTCTGTGATGCCCAACAGCTTCCCCTGGGAAACACAACTGAGCAGCTCTCTGGGGATGCTGGAAAGGCAGGAAATGAAGAATCAACAGCAAAATGGACACGAAGGAAGAGAAGCTGGATGGGAAGGACACAGCTCCATGTCCAGGCAGACCCTGGGGGTGTCCCCAACCCACGTGCTCTGATTCCCAGGGACTCCCCATCCCTGGTGCTGAAGCAGCAGCTCCAGCCTCTGGGCTGGTTTGATCCCAACACATCCCCCTGCCCACTGAAAAGGCTGGGGGGAGGTTTTTGCACACTCAGGGCACGATGCCCAGCCCTTCTTGGAGGGGCACAGACTGAATTCTGGCTAAATTCTGCTTCACTACACACCACCAACCTCTCTTCTTCCACAAAGATGAACCATCTCTCCCTGGGAGCAACTGGTTCATTTGCCTTCCCATTACACTTTGCTGGAAGAGGGGGA